TGCGGCTGCAGCAGTAAAGCAGGCGCTGCACCGGACCGTCTTGGTGAAGAGGGAGCTGAGCCGGAAGGCAAAGCTCTCAATTTACCACACGGTCTACGTTCCTACCCTCACCTATGGTCACGAACTCTGGGTCGTGACCGAAAGGACAAGGTCGCGGCTACAAGCGGCCGAAATGAGTTTCCTCCGTAGGGTGGCCGGGCTCAGCCTTAGAGATAGGCTAAGGAGCTCGGTCATCAGGAGGGAGCTTGGAGTAGAGCCGCTACTCCTTCGCGTCGAAAGGAGTCAGCTGAGGTGGTTCGGGCATCTAATTAGGATGCCTCCTGGACCCCTCCCACTGGAGGTTTTCCAGGCACGTCCAACGGGGAAGAGACCCCGGGGAAGACCCAGAACACGCTGGAGAGATTACATCTCCCAGCTGGCCTGGGAACGCCTCGGGATCCCCCAGAATGAGCTGGAACATGTTGCCGGTGAGAGGGAGGTCTGGGTCGGCCTGCTTGACCTGCTGCCATCGCGACCCGACCCCGGATAAGCGGTGGAAAATGGATGGATGGATGGATGGTTCATGAATCATGTAAACAGGAGAATAATAAAGCTGACTATCAGTTATCATTAGTTTTATGGAAATTTAAGTTGCCTTGAAATTATGTTAATTTGTGTCTAATATATCTTTTATTTTTATGTTTTCATTCCGTCTTCATATTATGTTCATTGTCCTTTGTACTTTAGTGCTCTCTTGTATTTAGTTACTCCGGGGAACTTTCATGTTGTGTCGTTTTTGGCGGTCCCTGTGGTAGTGTTCCCGAGCACCAGAGGCCCTTTAGAAAACCTCTCATTTTGTCACGTTCTTGGATTTTGTTTAGTTGGTTTCCTGTTTTATTTTGAAGTTCCCTACCTCTTGTGTCCCGTGTTAACTTCACTTCCAGCCTTTGTATGTTTTCCCTGTCCTGTCGCAGGTCCGGCCGACTGCTGCTCCTGTTCCCACCGAGCCCCAGCTTTCCTCGGCTCCTGACGACACCCAGCTCTACATCTCCACCAAATCCATCACCCCCACCACCCACTCCATCGTCACCAACTGACTCACAGATATAAAAACCTGGATGCAAGCCAGCTTCCTCTAACTCAACAGCGACAAAGCTGAAGTCCTCATCATCGAACCCAAATCACTAAACAAATCCCACCACGTCTCCCTCTGCATCGATGGCACCACTGTTCCTGCTTCCACACGTCTGAAACCATGGGATCATTTTCGATCAAACTCTCTCCTTTGAACGTCACGTCAATCACATCACAAAAACCGCCTTCTTTCATCTCAAAAACATCGCCCGTCTTCGAAGCTCCCTCTCCTCCTCATCCTCGCCTTCATCACCTCTGGACTGGACGACTGCAACATCATCCTGTACGGCACATCCACCACAATCATCAACAAACTACAATACATCCAGAACTCTGCTGCCCGTCTGCTCTCCCACTCCAGGGACCACATCAGCCCAGTCCTTCAGAACCTCCACTGGCTCCCCCATACAGCAAAGAATCCAGTTCAGGATCCTCCTCATTACATACAAAGCCCTCCACAACCCTGAACCCCTTCATACCTTTAGACCTCCTGCATCGACACGCTCCCAAGTGCAACCTCAGATCCACCGCATTTACATCAAGATGGCGTCGCGGACGGCTGCCTCGGCGTGTTGGTGCTCATTGTTTTGTGTTGTTTCGTCGTTAATTCAGTTTTCTGCTGCGATACCTGGAGCTCTTTCACCAGAGATGAGCTCATAAACATCAGGGGAACAACTCCAGCGGACTTACTTCCAACTTTTTTGTTAACCTCTGTGGAAGTACTGGACATTCTCGTCAAAGGTGCGCTCACCTTAACTCATGCAGTGAAGCCCGTAGGAGAGGGAAACGGGCCAGTGCGCTTGTCCGTCTTCGCTCTCGTGGATTCCACACACCGCTGCCAGGCATATTTCTCTCAAACGTCCGCTCACTGTGCAACCAACTGGACAAACTTCAGCTACTGGTGGGGAGAGACAGAGACTTTTCTTCATCCTCCGTTCTGTGCTTCACTGAGACCTGGCTCTGTGGATCCATACCGGACTCTGCGCTCCAGCTGACTGGCTTCCAGCTGTTGAGAGCGGGCCGCGACACGGAGCTCTCCGGCAAATCGAAGGGTGGAGGAATCTGTTTCTACTCCAACAGTGTCTGGTGTAACGATGTGACAGTGATTCTACAGCACTGTTCTCCTGATCTGGAATCCTTCATTATAAACTGTAAACCATTTTAGTCCCACGTGGGTTCGCCTCATTCATTCTGGTCGGTGTTTACATGCCGCCGCAGAGCAACGTGCTGGAGGCACAGCGGACACTCGCCGATCAGATACGGTGTGTGGAGCGGACCAACCCGGACTCTCTCGTTATTGTCCTTGGTGACTTTAACAAAGGAAACCTCAGCCATGAACTCCCCAAATACAGACAGGTTATTAAATGTCCAACCAGAGAGGAGAACATTAGATCACTGCTACACCACAATCAGCGGGGCCTATCACGCCGTCCCCCGTGCTGCACTGGGACACTCGGACCACGTCATGGTCCATCTGATTCCTGCTTACAGGCAGAAACTAAAGCTCTGTAAACCAGTGGTGAGGAAATTCAAGAAGTGGACCAGTGAGGCTCTGGAGGACCTTAGGGCGTGTTTGGACTGTACAGACTGGGATGTCTTCAGGACTGCTACCAACAGTCTGGATGAGTACACAGAGGCTGTGACTTCATATATCAGCTTCTGTGAGGACAGCTGTGTTCCATCAAGCACCAGGTGAGTTACAACAACGACAAACCCTGGTTTACAGCGGAACTCAGACAGCTAAGGCTGCAGAAAGATCAGGTTTTTAGGAGTGAGGACAAGGACTTGTACAAAGAGTCAAAGTACAGGTTTAGTAAGGCGGTGAGAGACGCTAAACGACTGTACTCCGAGAAACTGCAACACCAGCTCTCAGCCAATGACTCTGCTTCTGTCTGGAGAGGTCTCAGGCAGATCACCAATTTAAAAACCTAAAACCCCCCCCACTCCATGAACGACCTCCGCCTGGCAGACGAGCTGAATGAGTTCTACTGCATATTCGAAAGACAATGGGACAGTCCTGACTCCATCCCCCACAGCCCCATCAACCAGCCCCAGACCACCAGACCCCCCTCCCCCAGCTCAGCAGGGGCTCATGCCTCTGTATCACACATCCCAGCGCCCCCCCACCCCCCTCCCCAGTGACGACTCTCTCTATTCTGGAGAGAGATGTAAATAGGCTTTTTAAAAAACAGAACCCCCGCAAAGCAGGCGGCCCAGACTCGGTCTCCCCCTCCACCCTGAAGCATTGTGCTGATCAGCAGTCTCCGGTGTTCAGACATTTTCAACACCTCCCTGGAGACATGCCACGTACTAGCCTGCTTCAAGGCCTCCACCATCATCCCCGTCCCCAAAAAACCAAGGATCACAGGACTTAATGACTACAGGCCCGTAGCCCTGACCTCTGTGGTCATGAAGTCTTTTGAGCGCCTTGTCCTGCCCCACCTAAAAACCCTCACTGACCCACTCCTGGACCTCCTGCAGTTCGCCTACAGAGCCAACAGGTCTGTAGACGATGCAGTCAACTTGGCCCTTCACTTCATCCTCTAGCATCTGGACTCCCCAGGAACCTACACCAGGATCCTGTTTGTGGACTTCAGCTCTGCCTTCAACACCATCATCCCGTCTCTGCTGCAGGACAAGCTCTCCCAGCTGCACGTGCCCGACTCCACCTGCAAGTGGATCACAGACTTCCTGTCTGACAGGAAGCAGCACGTGAAGCTGGGAAAGCACATCTCAGCCTCCCGGACCCTCTGCTCTTCTCCCTGTACACCAACAGCTGCACCTCCAGCCACCAGTCCGTCAAGCTCCTGAAGTTCACGGATGACACAACCCTCATTGGACTCATCTCTGGTGGGGATGAGTCCGCCTACAGGTGGGAGACTGACCATCTGGTGACCTGGTGCAGTCTGAACAACCTAGAGCTCAACGCTCTAAAGACAGTGGAGATGGTTGTGGATTTCAGGAAGAATGCAGCCCCACCAGACCCCATCACTGTGTGTGACTCCCCCGTCGACGCTGTGGAGTCCTTCCTCTTCCTGGGCTCCATCATATCCCAGGACCTCAAGTGGGAGCTGAACATCAGCTCCATCACCAAGAAGGCTCAGCAGAGGATGTACTTCCTGAGGCAGCGAAAGAAATTCAACCTGCCAAAGACAATGATGGTGCACTTCTACACAGACATCATTGAGTCCATCCTCTGCTCCTCCATCACGGTCTGGTAAGCTGCAGCCACTGCCAAGGACAAGGGCAGACTGCAGCGCATCATTCGCTCTGCTGAGAGGGTGATTGGCTGCAATCTGCCATCCCTCCAGGACCTGTTCGCTTCAAGGACCCTGAAGCGAGCACGAAAGATTGTAGCCGACCCCTCTCACTCTGGACATGATCTGTTTGAACCCCTTCCATCTGGCAGGAGGCTGCGGTCAGGACCAAGACCTCACGACACACAAACAGTTTCTTCCCATCGTCAGTCGGGCTCATCAACAAAGCCCGGGTCCCCCACTGACTCTGTCATCCCCAGGACATTTCCTTCTGGTCTCTCCCCTGCACATCCCTGTTTCTTTATTTAAACACACTCATCACTTTTAACTTTTCACTTACACTTCACTTGTTTTACAGTCCTGTTATCTGTTTTGTTGTGCACTTTATTCTATATCTTATATTTTATTGTAAATTTTAATATGTTTCTATTTCTTGCACTGTGCTGATTGTGATAGTTTAATGTTATTGTCTGTTGTTAAATGTTACGCACCACCCGCCACGACAAATTCCTTGTAGGTGTAAACTTCCTTGGAAATAAACGGTTCTGATTCTGATTACATTAGATTACGGTCATTTAGCAGACGCTTTTATCCAACGCAACTTACAATTCAGATTCTATCACATTCTACACCGTAGACACAACTACGGGAGCAGTTTTGGGGTTAAGTGTGTTGCTCAAGGACACATCGACGTGTGACTAGCGGAGTCACCAGTGAGTGAGAGCAGCATAGATGTATTGACCATGTGTGTTTGTGTGTGTGTGTCCTCAGCCTCCTGGTTCTGGGCCTCAGGAACATGGAGGGCTCACGTGACCCCGCTAAGCTGGTGTCTCAGTTACTGGTGAGGAAGACTCTGGTCCAGGTCCGCCGGAGAATCCTGCAGTGCTGTAGACCTGGTTCACCGGACAACATCGTCAAGGTAACGCTCACACTACTGGACTCTGCTGGTCTATATTGGTCTCTGCTGGTCTATATTGGTCTCTGCTGGTCTATATTGGTCTCTGCTGGACTCAATGTGACCTGATGTCCTCTGCAGGCCTTCAGGTATCAGCGGGTCCTGTGGCCGATGCTGGTGTCCTGCCGGCAGGTGGACCCGGCAGAGCGGCGCCCCCCAGTGGAGAGAGAGGAGGAGGTCATGCCCCTGTGGCTGCTGGTACGTCACTTCCTGTTGTTCTTTCACATTAAATGCCTAGATATAAAAACTAATGTTTTGAACCTTAATTTAACTCTCGACTCGTGTATTTTATTTTGAAGTGAATCCTGTTTGTCTTTATCGTCTGAAACGTTTTTATTGTGAAGTTTCATCAACAAACAGAAAGTCAAAATAAAACCATAACAATCTTATAATA